TTATCTTATCTTATCTTATCTTATCTTATCTTATCTTAAACTTAAAGTGAATCCATTATGAAGACATGGGATCAGGCTCTGGCTTGAATAAGCAATCATGTTGCCCTGTCAGAAAATTCCTGTAAGAAATCAGCATTCAATTGATTGCAGTCTGCAATCTTTTGACATCTAACGGTGAGATTTTATACCTTTAAACAGAGATTCACCTCTACTGGCGGTGCGAAGTGGTAGTTTACGAGGTGCACTGAATACAGCAGAGCGATCTCGTGAACACTGCAGGGGGCGTTAAGGGAGTGTCAGACATTTTCTCGGTTGATATTCTTGTTCGAAGAAGTGAGTCTCCGTTTTTGTGGTCAGTCTTTCACTGTAGTGGACTGTATACTGAGCTCTGGACAAATTGTAGTCCTGTATTCGTCTGACCAACGCGGGAGACGGACGTTTGTGACAGTTGAATGGGACAAAACAGGTACTGACAGCCTTTATAAACGTGCAAGTTAAATTCTCCACAAACGTCGATTAACGACTTTCGCAAAGTTCCTCTCGTCCCCTGTTCAATAATCACTCAGTTTAGTCCACTTTTAAATGATTGGCAATTTTGTGCCTATCTCTGTAGGTTTAACGTGTTTACATATCGCCGTATTAAGGGAAGTATCGTGCATCTGTAGAGGACTGCTCAACCTGTAATCTCACGATTATGTATTTTCTTCGGTTTTGTGGCGGTGTACCTACAAGCTTTAATTTGTATCAAAGTTCACAGGCTGGCAAAATGACTGCTCCTGTCCGTGCCATCGTGGTAGGAGGAGGATGTCGGGGTGAAATCTACTCCCAGTATGCGTCTATTCATCCCGAACGAATGAAGGTTAGGAGAGGCTTGTGTTTCTGAGGGAAACATTTGTCAAAACGTCAGCATGTCTTCGTCTGTCGAAAGGAAATAGCTGAAATCTGAAATTAGTCTCCTAATTATAACCCTTCTATGCTCAAGTCATTGATGCAAGCTGTTCCTACCAATGTCACGTAGTAAGTTGTAATATTTAACGGGGCGTACCTTGATTTATTCACTTTGACCTCCTCAGGTTGTTGCAGTGGCTGATCCACGGAAATTTGCAAGGACCAAACTTCAAAAACAACACAAAATCGTGGAGGAAAACGTATTTGAAGGTGAGAGGAAGAGAGAAAAAGTGTCAAATCCTTATAATTATCTGCCTTGTCCTTACTGAGTCCTCTTTTATCCAGACTGGCAGGCTGTAGTTGAAAGAGACAAGTTTGCAGACGCTGTGTTAATTTGCACCCCAGATCGCCTCCATAAGGTAAACATTGTCTGCAGCAAATATTTATTGGTTTAAATTACTTTGAGATGTTCTTAAATTAATTATTATGGTGATCACATTTATGCTTCCTAGGAACCTGCTGTGGCCTTTGCAAAGAAGGGATACCATGTTCTTCTGGAGAAACCAATGGCAGTGAGTGTTTGTGGATGTTATTGATGAACTGATTTTACAGTAATAATTAATCCCTGATTTGCACCAAAAGTTTTATTGTCTGAAGTTTGGACACACAGTTTGAATTTAGCTTCTTTTTAAAAAAATACTTTTTAACTTGTATTGTTTAGAAAAATGGCCCATTGAACCTCTCTCAGACCATTTATTTTAGCATTGTAAAATCTGAGGCAGTGTTTGAACAACAGTATCAACATCAAGCAAAGATATTTTCTTCTATCTTGAAATTTGTATTTAGAGAAGACAGTTTAAAATATAATGTTAAAAGTAGTCTGTGTTTTCTTTTAATTTTCTTTAATGCGAACTTTATTAGTGTGGGCTCAAATATGGGACTTTACAGGACACCATAAACTGGCTAATACTTAGACATTTTTTATGTATCTGTTCAAAATTACAGATGGCAAGAAAGACCAGTGAAAATTTCAGGCTTATCTTGAATAGTGTTTTAAATATTAAATATCTTCAAACAGGTCTTTAATGTACAAAAAAAAAAACTTCTGAAAGTGGGTCAACAGATTATTTTTTTCAAAGAAAGGACATCTGGAAAAGTATTTGATACATGAAGCTAAATTTTTACAGCAATTGTTCTACGTGTCCAAACTTTAAAGCTTTAAAATCTGCTGATTTGAGCTAGAGTGACCCAACAGTTGTTTGTTTTAGTTGCTTTCACGATTCACTATTCTGAGCAAAAGCTTTAACAAAACAACACACCCTCAGTATTTTACATCAAACTGAAGCACAGCGTCCCTCTTTTAATGTCCCCACATGACTTCAGACAACTGTAGAAGACTGCACGGCGATCGTGGAGGCTTGCATTCAGAGCGGCGTGATGCTGTCCGTGGGTCACGTTCTCCGGTACGATCCAGTCATCCACAAGATAAAGGTGAGCATTTTCTAGTGCACTTTATCCAGCTGTGACAGTTTTCTTCAGCAGGTAGTGGAATCTATTGTGGGTTCAAACACTTAAACTTCATCTGCCTAAAATCTATAGGAACTCTTTCTCATTCAAAACAGCCACACATTTACAGAATCAGCAGGATTGAGGAAAAATAAGCAAACAGAGTACTCTTTTGTGTTTGTGAAAGTGCAAAAAAAAAACCCATCAAAAACAGCATTTTAATCAAGAGTGCTGAGGCTGTTTTGACTTGATTAAGTCAAAACTACAATTTTCTCATACTTGGGAAAGTGGTAAAGAAAATTTACAAAATCTGTATGAGGGTTTTGCTGTTTTTTTTATTTATAAAAATAAATGGTCTTTTACAGAAGCTCATAGACGCTGGAGTCATAGGTGAAGTGATCCATATTCAGCACCTGGAACCGGTGAGCAGGCAGATACGATAGAAACATAATAATAATAATAATAAATTATTATTATTATTACCATTGTTAAATTGAATTTAACAGACACATGTTGATTTTCCTTTTGTTGTTAATATTATATTGCAATATAAGACATAGTTTCATAATTAACATATTCATTAAGAAAATCATAATTTGGAGACATTTGCACATAGTTGTGGCCTGTGGACAAAATTTTGTAGCATTGTATGTTTTTGTTATGTTTTGGGTTTTTTCAGGGTTTTTAAAGTGTTATTCAATGTTAACATTTCTGCAGCATGGTTAAAAACAGAATCGATCTTTCTTCCAGGTTGGGTTTTATCACTTTGCTCACTCGTTTGTTAGAGGGAACTGGAGAAACGAAGCAGAGAGCTCTTTTGCTCTTCTCACTAAATCTTGCCATGACATTGACCTCATACATCACTGGGCTGGAGGGCGCAGGTATATCATTAGACAGTAGTCAGTGATTAAACTCAAGGCTCAATGTTCAAAAGTAAGATTTTCTTTCTCTTTTATTTTGGCCTAAAACAGCTAGAAAACTACATGTTTAGCCCAATTTTGTTGGACTAGAGGTAAATGGGGATGTTTTTTTGTGTAGTTTGATTATTTACTCTGGCAGTTTGTTCTTGGCAGGTGTGTGAAAGTGTCGTCATTTGGATCCGTCAGCCACTTCAATAAAGACAACAAGGTATGTTGTCTGTTCAGTGATTAAATGAAGATAATCAGTAGCCACGATGGGTAGAAATCTCTGTACTAAGCATGAATATAAAATGTGACGTTACTAGTTTTGTGTCAGCCAGCAGGGGCTGCAGATCGCTGCCTTAACTGTTCAGTAGAAAAAGACTGCCCGTACTCAGCATGCAAAATCTACTTGGACAGTGTGAAGAAGGTAAAAATTTCACCAATTTACTTTCATCATTTATGTACTTTTTTTTTTTATTATATACTTCTTATAAATAATTTTTGTGTTTTGTATGTTTGTGTGCTAGGGTCACACTGGCTGGCCAGTATCAGTCATATGCCCCAATTCACTCCCAGACATTGAGTCAGTAACAGAGGCATTGAAGACTGGACCGTATGGCCGCTGTGTCTATGAGTGTGACAATGACGTCTGCAGTAACCAGGTTAGAAAACACTGAAATCTGCAGCACTGACCCTTTCTGACTCAGTTATGCAGTATTAGGTTCCTATCAGGCATCAAAGATGCATTTAGAATATACAGAATATATTGTACTTCTACCTGCACCATTTTCATTATGTGTACTTTCTTTTTTCTTTAATCTCAACAAACGGTTATCTGCATACGAGTTAAAATAACTTAAACACAGTGAAATTTATTATTCATTTATTTATTTTTTAGCACAAGAAGCTTTCTGGTTTCTGCCGTTTTGCAGTTCTATACTGTACCTCTCATATTTAAGCAGGCTTTGTTGCAAGCAGGAAGATGGTGTGTGTGAGACTAAAAGACAGGTTGAATTTGGAGGACTGTAATTACAGAACCATTAGTTGTTGCTGAGATGAGTTTTTGTTTTGTAATTATGTGCATTTGCCCAAAATATTGGACATTGTCCCCATAGCTTAAATCAGCTGACTGACATACGAATTCCCAGACTGCACTTTGTTTATTTATTTATTTGGTCTGTGATTCTTTCCTTTTATCTTATTTAACTTTTCTGATCTCCTGAGCAGGTTGTCAACATGGAGTTTGAAGGGGGTGTGACGGCAGCCTTTTCCATGGTGGCATTCACTGAGGAGATTTGTAAGCGAAAAACAACCATTTACGGCAGCAAGGTAGGACTGTAATTAATGTCTCTGGGAAAGATGAGAATGAGAGACTGAAGAAAATCACATAGAAACACATTAATTAGCAAATGAATGATATAAAAGTAAAAGTGTGAATGCTTACAGATACAGAAGGTAAGAAACATTATATATCACAGCACTGTTAATCCTTATAGACCCTGTAACAGTTCAAACTGTTAGAAGCATGTTATTTACTTCATAGGACAAAGGCACTCTTCTGCATCATAAAGCAGAACCGCAGACCAAAATCACCCATTCCATAATATGTTGAAAAATGGTTTTACAATGATATGTTATTATAATTAGGGATTTCCTGCCTCGTCATACATTCACAGAAATCTGTGTATTTCCATGTTGTTGTTTTTTATGACCATTTGATTTAAAAACTATTATATTTTAGCAATTCCTTATTTGATAAAACTGATTCAGTTGTTTTACAATACTTTCAATTTTGCTTTGGACACCCTCAAAAACAGGACAAAGTTTCAATATTCAGACAAAAACCTTGTTGATAAAACCAGTTCGATGAGCTATCATTCATACTACTGATGTGCGACTGATGAAATGATATCTCCTTGAATCTTTAGTATTTGATAAACATAGAGTTAAGTTTGTTACTAAAATTCAGCTCTTTCCTACATAATGAACTGGGTCTTCTCAGGGCGAGCTCTCATGCAATGGCCACGAGATCCATGTGTTCAACTTCCTGACCCAGAAATCCAGAAAGCACACAGCAGACTACAACACTACCAGGCAGTTCGGTATGAGTGGACACGGTGGAGCAGACTACTGCCTTATGCATGCCTTCATTTCTGCTGTGGCAGTGAGTGCTCATTACACTTTTTTTTTTAATATCTAATTTTAGATAAGATTTGTTGTTGGTGAGTTCTACTTCCACTTGAGATTATCTGTATTTGCTTTTCTTGTACCTGTGATGCAGGACTTAAAAGATGCATGTGTCGTATCTATGTGTATCTGCTCTGTGATGGCTAATTTTTGTTTTCATATATCTTTATATGCATACAGAACAATGATCCATCACTGATACGGTCTGGTCCTGTGGAGACACTGCAGAGTCATTTGCTGGTGTTTGAAGCTGAGCGCTCACGGCTAGAGAGCAGAGTGCTGCACTGTGGGGACATTAAACAGAGCTAAAAAAAAATACCTACAACATTTTTTTTAGCATATTTTGTTATAGCTTCTTAATAAATCAGTGTAGTAATACCTATATTGTTAGTTATTGAACAAAACTATTAAACTTTCTCATTTGTCAATTACTAGATTTATATCCACACACTGACATATATAACAAGGACTTTTTTCTAGTGAAGCAAAGATGTCCTGAGAACGTATGATGATTAATGACAATGACACTCACTTCCTAAAATGATTACATAACTGATTCATGTCAGAAAAAGAAATATTAATTTCAAGGGACTGCCTGGTTTAATAAATGCTAAATAAAATCTGTTTTTAGTCTTGTGTCTTTAGTTTCCACTTTTTTTTTTCTTCCACACACTATCACGCTACAAAACCTGACACTAGTCTTGAGGCAGTAGGACATGGAAAATATGTACTATTTAAAGAAAAAAGTCATCTTGAATTTAATGGCAACTGCACTCAAATTTTGAGACTGTGTGTCACATCCAATCTTCAGCACCTGGACTCTTCTGCTCCAAAGCCATGCTATTGTAAGACATGCTGTTTGCCATCGCTTTGCTGAAATGTGAAACCTCTTCCATAAAAAAGATGTTTGGATGAAAGCCTATGATGCTCTGAAACCTGTAAAAAAAATGTTTGTTTGTTTTTTGGTCCCAATAATTTATTACATTTTGACATCAGGACAAATGGAGTACATGAGACCTCAGTTATTAATGAAAACATGAATTTCACAACTTATCACATCACTTTACAACTGCTCATTGAGGCAAATAGGTAGGGAAATATTGGGTGAATGATCGGGCACAAGCACAGGACTGTGTCAGATCTTTATGTAACAAGAAAGCTTATTTACACAACACCAAGACACTGAAGAAGTCACTTGGATGAGTGATGAAACGTTTCTTCCAATGAAAACGTTACATCCAGATGAACAGAATCAACTTTTGGGGATGCACAACACCAAGTGCAGTAAAAAGTGATATTTTTTTAATTAAAAATTATTTTTTAAATGGAGGCTGTATGATAAAAAAAAGTATTTCTATACTATAAAATTAAAACAAAAAGACATTTTAAAGCGGCACATGGCAGCAGGTTTCTATGTAACAAAATTATGTTGTGATTCCATTGTTGCTATCGTTACCGTTTAAAGTAACATAAGATATATATGAAACATAACAAGCAAAGGTCTTCACCATTTCAATCCAGAGCTTGGAGAGAAATTGACTATCACAGCGGTTGCAAAGCAAGGATTTACTAGCAAGCAGAAATTTGTTGGATTGCAAAACCACTGACCATCGACTGACAGCATGGGAAAAGTAAGTGCATGAATAAATGAATAAGTTCTTCAAGTCATTTGTTTTTGAATCAGGTGTTTAAACTTGAAATTCATATTTGCAAATCTAAAGATTTTACAATTTTTTTACATTCCTGCATTTTTTCTGTGCAGTCCTGTGAAATGAAACCTTTTGAATCACTGTTTTGTTGTAACAAGAGTAATTTTTTATGATTTTTCATTGCTAGTCTCTTGGTTTTTGTTTCTGTATTTCTAGTTCTGTAAGCTCTTTAGCATCTCCTTATTTCCAGTCTTTACGTTTTGTTAATGTGCCTTCCCTCTGTTCACTGTCTTGTCTCTCTGTGCCTTTACTGTGGGACACAAATTTCTTGTTTTCCAGTTTCTTGAGACCTTACTTTTTTTTAGCTTCTAGTTATTATGCTTTATTTTCTGTTACCCCTATTTCAGCTCTCTAGAGCGCAAGCTCGTTTAGTTCATCCCTCTGTGTCCTGCAAGTCCTGCATTTGGCACCTATCTCCTTCCTTCCACACAGCTGTAGCCTTTACACACACAGTTACTGAATTTGACTCATTAAAAATTTTAAAGGTAAACAAAATAATAACCACTGACCAAATTTAAAAAAGCAAAACAAAACAAAACTAATATTAATAATGATAACAAAAAAAGGCATTACAAAACTTAAATCTTCAGATAAAATGAACTGTTTTCATTTTGTTTATATCTATGTAAAAATGAAATATTTCTAATGCTCTGCTTTTTCCTTTAAATGTGGTGTCATATCATGATAAAAAATTACTTGAAATGTGTATTGAAACAGAAAACATAAACCTACAATATATTTTTCACTACAGTTAACATTTTAGTAACAGAACAGTGGTTTCTAGAATATATTTTTCATTTCATTATTGTTTAATCCACAAAACTTCTTTTAGTTCTTTAAGAAAATGTCTTACAGTGAAATAAATACAACTAAATCTCTTTTTTTTTTACACCTTGAATCCTGTCTGGCAGCTTTGGCAATCAGAATTATGATCTCAGTGTCAGTCACTGTTATTTATGCAGCACCAGTGTTTTGATGGGTATTAGTACATCAACACTGAAATGGTTTAACTGTAAATAATAGCAAGAATAAAACAAAGCAGATCACAACAAAACTTGTACCATGACTTCATATATTTGAGTATGTTTGCCCTTTATGTTTACCTGGTTGTTGAATGTCCCTGACAGGCAAAGATGAAGACAAAGTGGCTAGAGGACAGCAGCCCTGAATCCCTCCAACACCCTCCCGAAAAAACATATTGGGCCACATTTGGTGCTCTGCTGGCGAGAAGCTCCAGCCCTCAGCCCTCCACCTCTGGCTTCCAATATAGACGACCGAAGGATGCCAATCAAGAGGTGAGTAGAAAGCATATTCATAAGCTCATAGACAATGTAAATGTTTTGACATCTTCTAAATCCTACAAAAACAAGAACTGAGTGGTGAAAAAATACAAACTGGCATTGTAGACAAGCCAAGAGTTTTGACACACATTACTCCATCTCTAACAGGTAAACACTGCCCAGCCAGTGAGGAGGTCAAGCCCCCAGCCCTCCACCTCTGGTTTACACTTGAACCGTGACTGGAGAGCAAGGAGATCCAGCCCTCAGCCCTCCACCTCTGCCT